CTCCTCCTCCTCCTCCTCCTCCTCCTCCTCCTCCTCCTCCTCCTCCTCCTCCTCCTCCTCTTTGCCATCCGCCTCCTGATCACACCCGTCCATCAAACGCGCCCCAGACACCCAAAGCCTACACGCTGACTCCCCGACGCTCGCGGGCACCAGGTGTGCCGGGAGGATCCGCCTCGACTCGAAAGAGAGGAGAGGAGGCGGTCACGAGAACGCCCCACTGCAAAAGCGCGGGAACTGGCCAAACAAGCCCAGAACGGCAAGCCAGCCCACGCTCTGAGGCCAGCGCTGCGTTGCGTAGAAGCCCTCGGCAAACATGATGACGCACGAGAGCAAGACCTGCCGCGCTGGGACGGCCGAAGGAGCAGGAGTAGGAGTCCAGTCGGCCAGTTCGAGCGAGTCAGCGGCGAGCCCCGAACGCTCCCACCCTCCCCTGCCAGAGCTTGGTCATCGGTGGTGGCACGACTGGAAACGGTGCCGTGGCGCGTGCTCCCACCCGCAGGGCCTGGGCATAGTCGCTGTCGGGGTGGTGACAGGGGGAGCGAAAGTGCGGTGCGGTGAAGCGATGCTTCTCGAGGGTCCTCGCCAGGGAAGAATGCACACGTCCCAGCGATGCCAAGGATGGCGAGGAGGGAAACGAGGTTACGGGAAAGGGAAGGGGAGGAGGGGAGGAGAGGGGAGGAAGAATAAGCAGAGAAAGAGGAAGAAGAGGGGGCGAAGGAGGGGGGAAAGAGGAGCGAAAAGCAGACGTTAAAGGCTCCCCCAGACCTTTCCAGGACCTCGTCCTGAGCACAGGATCTAGCGACGAGGAAAAGCACTGTCGAACCGAACTGAATCAGAGAGATAGCGTAAGGACAGGGATGGATCCACCCTCTTCCCCCCCTCCTCTCAATATCCACCTTCCTCCAACTCGCCCTCCCCTCCAGCTTCCTGCTCCTCCTCCTCCTCCTCCTCCTCCTCCTCCTCCTCCTCCTCCTCCTCCTCCTCCTCCTCTCCTCTCCTCCTCCTCCTCCTCCTCCCTCCTCCTCCTCCTCCTCCTCCTCCTCCTCCTCCTCCTCCTCCTCCTCCTCCTCCTCCTCCTCCTCCTCCTCCTCATGCCTCTGCCATTAGGCGCGGACCCCAGACCATACGCCCCCACTGGTGCCTTCCCTGCTTGCCGGCCGGCGATGATCGGCCGTGGTTGTCAGGAGTGGCGCTGGTGCCAAGTGGCGAAGCAACGAGATAGCGGGGCAGCCAGGAGGAGCGAAGGGGAGAGCATGCCCTTGACAGCGAAACAAGCGGATCCCCTCACAAACTCTGACGGAGCGAGGGTCGCGAGGGGCCCGACCCCCCCGTGGCCCGCCCAAGCGCTCTGCCGTGGCGCGCGGCTTCGCTGTCGTGCTGCCTGCTGCTCGTTCTCCTCGTCCTCTCCTCCTCCTCCTCCTCCTCCTCCTCCGCCTCTCTCCTCCTCCTCCCTCCTCCTCCTCCTCCTCCTCCTCCTCCTCCTCCTCCTCCTCCTCCCTCCCGCCCTCCCTCCATCCCTCCCCCCCTCCTCCTCCTCCTCCTCCTCCCTCCTCCTCCTCCTCCTCCTCCTCCTCCTCCTCCTCCTCCATCAGCTGCTTCTCACCATCACCCTTCTCCCGTTCATCCGTACTCTTCTTTTCGTCGTGATCCCGTCGAAGTCATGGCTTGAGCTCCCAATCACCACCACAGCCGCACTCATCATAAGGTCGATACGCTCAGAGGTGCCCGCGCATCTGCTGATGTCCGATCATTGTTGTCACGGCTTTCGTTTTCGTATCGTTCGAACCCTCGTTCGATATTGGGACGGGGGCGATACCCTGTACCCTGCGCACACTCCTGCTGGATGCGCTTCGGCGAAGCCGTCTCGATCGGCCGCAGATGTCGGCCAAGGTAGTGGACACCAATCTTCTGTGTACCACCTATGGTGGCGGAACATTCTTACCCATGCATCTGCAAGACTCAGGCAGAACCCAGGCGTCCTCATGAGGATAGCATCAACAGCACCGATCTCGTACTTGTCCGAACGATTTACCCTGATCGTCGTAGAAGGTGACCAGTGCGGAAAACAGCTTCGACTGGACGCAAAGGGTAGCATCACCGATGCTGCTGTTCCTCGTGCCACGGCGAAGGGGCGTCGATCATTTCGGACAGACCAGGTTTCGTTCTGAGTCTGGTTCTATGCACGAAAATGGCCCAGTGCGTTTTGGAATTGCTGCATGTTCGCCTAACTACAGGCATCTTGAAATGAATATGCCCTGGCATAATAAAACCAATAAATGCCAGCCAGCGTGGATTCCAAACAGCGTGCTCCTAACCATATATGAGGTTCGATCTATGTAGAGTAACATGTGTGGTGCAATACACGTGGTGCAATATATGTGGTGCAACATATGTAATGCAAAATACACTCGACCAGGATTGTAAGAATGCGTGGTGAGGATGCAAGGGCCTTGGAACGCCATGTTGACGTGTTCTGTGCGGAGCGCAGCAGAATGCCGAAGGATGCCGAATACCGAAGGGGCAAGGATGCAAGGGTAGCCTTGGAAAGTTGCCCCATCCTTACTATCACGGTTGACTGTATGTGGTGCACTACGTGGTGCAATCCATGGTGTGTACTCTATATGCTCCTATCCTTGAGGTACAATAAATGTTGTGCAGTACTGTGGAGAAGTATGTGTGGTGCAATGTATGTGGTGCAACTTATGCGATGCAATCGACGTGGTGCAATCGAAGGCGTGCTACATATGTTGTGCTAGCGTGATGCAATATAGCTGGTGCCATATATGTGGTGCGACCTCTGCGGTACAGAATGTTGGTGCAGTATATGTTGTGCCGACTATGTTGCGCAAGATATGTGGTGCAGCCTGTGGTGCAGTATATGTGGTGCAATATGTGCGATGCTATCTCTGTGGTGCGCAATACTTGCGGTGCAACCGGCGCGGTGCAATCCGAGTGGTGCAATCTAAGCTGTGCTATATGTGTAAAGCAACACATGTGGTGCAATATGCGTGTAATATATGCGGCGCAACCTATTGGTGCAACCTATGAAACGATCTCTAGATGGTGCTAGATATGTAGTGCAAAATGTTTGGTGCAATATCTGTGGTGCAATTCTCTTGCCGAACTTGAAGTGGTCAACTCCACAGCTCGCGCAATCATCCCACCCACCCACCCGCAACTTGGTTTGCAAAACCCATGCGGGAACAATTGCGATGAGTGCTGGGTGTTGGCTGGTACATATTTGCGGCCGCGCGAGCCCGCAACGACTGCGACGACACCGACGACGTCTCCAACGACTTCGACGACGCCGACAACGACAACGACGACGACGACGACGACGACGACGACGACGACGACGTCGACAACGACACCGACGACGACGACGACGACGACGACGACGACGCCGACGCCGACGACGACGACGACAACGACGATGACAACGACGACGACGGTGACGACGCCGACGACGACGACAACGACGACACCGACGACGACGACGACGACGTCAACGACGCCGACGACGACGACGACGACGACGGCGGCGACGACGACGACGCCGACGTCGACGACGAAGACAACGACGCGGACGCCGACGACGACGACGAAGACGACGACGACGTCGCCAACGAAGACGACGACGAGGGAGCAGGGAGGACGACGACGGCGACAACGACGACAACGACGAGGGAGGAGGGAGGACGGCGACGACGCGAACGACGAAGAAGGAGGAAGGACGGCGACGCCGACGACGACAACGACGAGGGAGGAGGGAAGACGACGACGACGACGACGACGACGACGACGACGACGACGACGACGACGACGACGGCGACGGCGAGGAAATAGGAGGGACGACGACGAGACGCCGACGATGCACGACGACGACGACGACGAGGGAGGAGGAGGAAGGACGACCACGGCGACAACGACGACGGAAACGACCACGACGCCAAAGAGGACGACGACGACGAACACGAGGAAAGACAGAGGACGACGTAAGCGACGACGACGACGACGACGACGCGGGAGGAGGGAGGACGGCGACGACGACGACGACGACGACGACGACGCAAGAGCGTGCGCGCACGCTTTTGTTGAAAATTCATGTTGCGAAACCTTGTTCTTGTAGGTTTGGGCACACGATTTTGAAATCCTTCCGAAACCGATGGGTTTTGAAGGACTTCGGCATACGCGCGCGACGAACGACGCGCGCGTCTGCACTTCGTTCCATTTTTTGCAGAGGATTCTCGCGACGGCACACGCGCAAGGGCGTTCGACAGATTTCGACATGCGCGCGCGAAGCCCGAATGGTACCATGTTGTGAAAATCTTGAAAACCTATGGTTTTCCGAAGATTTCGCAAGAGCTCGCGCGTAAGCTTTTTTAGCAAATCAGTGTTGCGAAACCCTGTGTTTTTGCATGTTATTTGGATACTCGATTGCGAATTCCTTCCGACATCGAGGGTTTTTGAAGGATTTCGGCATGCGCGCGCGACGACACGCGCGTGTGCATTTCGTCCCATGTTTTGCAAGGGAATCGTCAAAAAGTGCTATGTTAGAACAAAAAATGTCACCGCATAGTGTTTTTTACAAGGGAACCTCAGGGGGGGTGGGGAACCCGGTTGGCCTGGGACACTCTGATTTCATATTTAGGATGGACATGTGGTAATAATCATATATGATTTACATACCCGAAAGGGGGGGCGATAACGCCGGGGAGGAAGAGAGTCTGTTCTCTTTCTAGAAAGGAGAATATATGGTGTGTAACCCTGTGAACGTATGTGATGTAATGTAATTTGTGCACGGGGCGGAAACGGCGACTACATAGCCGCCAAAGCGGCACACCGGCCCAGACGACGGGAAGGGACGAGGCGACGACGAGGCGGCGACGAGGCGGCGGACGCGACTACATAGCCGCCAGGGCGGCCGGCACACCGGCCCAAACGACGAACGACGACTCCCCCTCCCGCTCCCCCTCCCCCCACACCCTCCGGGTCCCCCTCCCCCATCCCTCCCTCCCTCCCTCCCTCCCTCCCTCCCATCCCTCCCATCCCTCCTCGGAGGAGAGGGCCACCGAGGACGTCCCCAGTGGAAACTGCACACACACACACACGAGAGGCCCGTCCGGGAGCGACTGAGTGTGGGAGGCAGCACATGCGGGAGTGGCGGGCGAAACCTACCCCGGGTTGGGGGAGAGGAGCGTAGCACTCCGAATGGGTGGCTAAAGGCCTCCTGGATGGGGTCCGAGTAGAGTGGGTTGGAGGATCGCACCGGCTGGGCGATGCGTCGCCAATGCATCGGCGATGCGTCGGCGACAACGGCGATGTATCGGCGACGTCGGCGGTGAGAAAATCGGGCTCCACGTCAAGCCGTATCGCCGATGCTTCGGCGATGCTCCGACCCCATTTACTCGAACCCCACCTTGGAGGCCTGGATCGACTGTAGGAGGGGCGAGAAGGGAAAAACGGGGGCAGGGGAGATCCGTCGCCCTCCCCACGACCCTCTCGCGGAGGCGCTCCTGCACGGCCCGGCTGTTGTCCCAGTTGGCTTCCCTGCACGGCCTGCGCCGGGATTGAAACAGGAGCACCTTCAGACTACTTGAGGACAGGAAAAGCAAAGCCCACCGACACCCCCAGCCTTAACCCCCCTCCTGACCTAGTGATCCGGGGGCTCCTGGCTGGAGATGAAGGTGGTCTTTGACCCCCAAGAGCCCGAAAAAGCTAAACCCACCACCAGTCAGGACCCCGTAGATCACCATGACGAGAGTGGGGGTCCCGGCGGGGGTGTGGGTGGGTTGTGCTGTCCTCAATACTGGCAGACTCCTCCTCATCATCGTCCCGCTCTGCTTCCCAGTACGTCTCACTTTCCGACTTCCCAGACTCCCGGCCGGCAGGTGGATTGGCGAAGCTGCTGGGTAGAGGGTGTGCTCAAAGGTGAACGGAGATTTGCTGCGCACGGTCACAAATCAGAAAACTCGGTGCACCGAGGACTAGCTGTCTGAAGCCCGCTGACCCACGATTGCTGCCCGCCTCCAATGTATCCAAAACGTCGCTTAACAAAAAAAGGTGGGGCGACAAGCTCCTCAACGCACCTGCGTAAGAGAATCCAGAATGGCCAATCAGGCCAAAAATTGCTCAGACGGAGCCGAAAATAGACAAAGACGGCCTCGAATACTCCCCAAGATGGCACTATGTGTCTCCACGATGGCAACGGTTTGCTCAATGAAAGTTCCACGATGGCCATGGAGTCTCTCAACGCAACCCCCGGGGGGAAGAATCAAATCCTGGCGAAGTGCCCAACCATAGGCAGCTGCGAGCACCTCGCGGTGAGTGATCAGAAGGAGGAGGCGAGCGAACAGACAGATTGGCACGCATATCCTGGCGGGGCGGCGCCATGCGAACACCGCCGCGAGGGCCTTCGGTGAGCTCTTTATGGGGTCACGAAACGCGTGAACGGTGTGCCACATGGGGGGCCGGGACGCCATGCGGACCCTGACACTGGGGCCCTCGGTGGAGCCCCCATTTGAGGCCACGACGTGCCGAGTTGTGGGCGGGTGCGCCGTGCCTGCCAGCTGCTGGGGCGTTCGGTGGGGGGTCCTATGGGACCACGAAACGTGTGAGGGGTGTACCGACACGGGTGCGGCGCCGTCATGCGGACCCTGCCGACGGGGCGTTCGGGGGGGGGTCCCTTTGGGGCCACGAAGCGTGCGAAGGGTGTGCCTAAGGGGTGCGGCGCCACCATGCGGACCCTGCCGATGTGACACTCGGTGGAGCTCCTTCTGGGGCCACGAAGCTTGTGAGGGATGTGCCAAAATGGGTGCAGCGCCGACGTGAGGACCCTAACGATGGAGCGTTATGCGGAGCTGGGGCCACGAAACGTGTGAGGGGTGTGCCGAAATGAGGCGGCGCCGCCATGCGGACCCTGGCATTTGAGCCTGATTTGGAGTTTCCTGATGGAGCAGCGAAACATGTGAGGGGTGAGACGAAAAGAAGCGGCGCCCGCCATGTGGACCCTGACATTCGCGCATCAGTCGACGCCCCCTATGAGGCCACGAAACGTGCGAGGGGTGTACCGAAAAAAGGCGGCAGCGGCGCCATGCGGAACCTTGAAGATAGGGCTCACCTGGAGCTTCCTAGGGGGCCACGAGGCGTGTGAGTGGTGTGCCGACATGAAGATGTGGAGGGCAGAGGCAGGGATGGGAAGAGGGAGGGGGAGGAGGAGGAAGAGGAGGAGGAGGAGGAGGAGGAGAGGAAGTGGGGCCCGGCTCTCTCCGCAAAACGAGGACCCAACACCACACGATGTTGGAAAGTCATACTTGTGCTGTCTGGGGGTCCGGGCAATATCGCCCACGTTCCTTCGGATGGGTCTCAGAAGCGTCGAGACGGCCCCAAGGTGCCCCGAGAGAACCTTATGGAAACCCAACAATAGCCAAAGACGGCCCCAACCAGCCGCCAAGAGGCCACCAAACGAGCCGCAAGAAGGCCTTGACAAGAAGGCCCCACACAGCCCTTCAGGGGGCCCAAGACAGCACTGCAAAACATCGAAGGATTGGCCAGAGGGGGGCCCAAAGCATGCTCAAGAGAGTTCCGAAGCCAACATGGGCACAAGGGAGCTCCGAGCCCCGAAAAACGCCCCGACAGGTCTCCAGAAGGGTTCTAGCAGCTCCAAAAGAAACCAACAGCAACCAGGACGGCTACGGTAGTCCCAAGCTGTTCCCAACACGATTCCAAAACGACCCTCGACAGGTCCAGGGGCCAAGATGGTTTCAAGACGGTCCACGAATCCCCCAAGACGACCCAAGACAGTCCCGAGTGCACCGTCAAAGGCCCAGGGAAGCCAAAAACCAGAATGTCCGACAAACTTTGGAAGGTTCTTAACGTTCTCGCCTTCCTGGACTTCCGACCGCCCAGGACGGCCCACAAGGCTCCAGAAAGCACCTCAAAACGGCCCAAGAGGCCGCCAACAGGGCCCAAAAGGATAAGCTGATGTGTCGCTGCTGGCGTTTGCTGCCCTGCCTCACGGAGAAGTGAACCCCCTTTTTGTTCTGCTCCTCTTGCAAGGTGCTACTGTGGAAGACGCCGAAACATTACCTTCCAGGGAACTGCCCCCCTGGGCGGGACGCCCTGGCGCGCCCAAGGCAACGCCCTGCCCTGGAGACGGGCATGAAATCCACCCTCGTCCACCCTTGATGCGCTTTGCGTTTTGGGCTCGATCGACGCTCCTGTCAGACGGGCCCGTGGAAAAATCCAGTCCGGCCAGTCTGGCGGCGCCTGGTCTACCGCTGGCCCATCGGCGGCGCGTGAGCGTCGGCCCAGAGGAAAGGAAGAGGGCGGGGAAGAGGTGAAGGGGGGAACGGGAGGGAGGGGGGCGGGCGGGGGGGGGACCAGGGTTTTCCCAAACCAAACGGGTCTTCCCAAACCAAATGTTGCGGAATCAGACCGCTGGGTCTTCCCAAAGTAAACCCGGGCCTTCCCAAACCAAACCTTCCCAAACCAAACGGGTCTTCCCAAACCAACGCCCCCGGGTCTTCCCAAACCAACCGGGTCTTCCCAAACCAACGTGCCAGGTCTTCCCAAACCAACCGGGCCTTCCCAAACCAACCCCCGGGTCTTCACAAACCAACCCCCGGGTCTTCCCAAACCAACCCCCGGGTCTTCCCAAACCAAACGGGTCTCCTCAAACTGGCATGCTGGGTCTTCTACAACTGAGGGTGTTTTCAAATCCTTATAGAACCCGGAGGGTTGGCCTACCCTAGGCCTACCCCTGGGCTTAACCCCTAGGTTTACCTTAGGCCTACCCCTAGGCCTACCCCCTAGGCCTACAACAGGCCTACCCCTAGGCCTCCCCCCACCCGCCCGTTAGGGTACTCGCGTGTCAACTCGATCATGTACCACACTCAAATGCCCCGCCCGCCCGACCCGACCCGTTTACTTGGGTCCGCCCGCCCGGCCCGACCCGACCCGCCCGTTAGGGTCCGCCCGACCCGACCCGACCCGACCCGCCGTTAGGGTTCTCGCGTATGAACTCGATCATGCACTACATTTCAATGTCCCGCCCGCCCGACCCGACCCACCCGTTAGGGTCCGCCCGCCCGACCCGACCCGACCCGCCCGTTGGGATCCTCCCGCCCGACCCGATCCGACCCGACCCGCCCGTTAGGGCACTCGCGTTAATGTCTCGCCCGGCCAACCCGACCTGCCCGCTAAGGTCCGCCGTTCGCCCCGACCCGACCCGCCCGATTAGGCCCGCCCGACCCGACCCGACCCGACCCGCCCTTTACGGTACTCGCGTGTGAACTCGATCATGCACCACACTTTAATGTCCCGCCCGCCCGACCCGACCCGCCCGTTAGGGTCCGCCCGCCCCGACCCGACCCGACCCGCCCGTTAAGGTTCGCCGCCCGACCGACCCGACCCGCCCGTTTGGGCTTTCGCGCGTGAAACTCAATCATGCACCACACTGTAGTGTCGCGCCCGCCCGACCCGCCCGTTAAGGTCCGCCCGCCCGACCCGACCTCACCCGCCTTTTAGGGTCCGCCCGCTTGGCCCGACCGACCCGCCCGTTAAGGCACTCGCGCGTGAACTCGATCGTGCAATCACATTTTGATGTTCCGCCCGCCCGACCCGACCCGCCCGTTAGGGTCAACCCGCCCGACCCGACCCGACCCGCCCGATAGGGCCCGCCCGCCCGACCCGACCCGGCCCGCCCTTTAAGGTTCTCGCGTGTGAATTCGATGCTGCACCACACTTGAATGCCCCGCCCGACCGACCCGACCCGACCCGCCCGTTAAGGTCCGCCCGCCCGACCCAACCCGACCCGCCCGTCGCCGACCCGTCCCGCCCGTTAGGGTCCGCCGCCCGACCCGACCGACGACCCTCCCGTTAGGGTCCGCCCGCCCGACCCGACCCGACCCGCCCGTTAGGGCATTCGCGCGTGAGCTCGATCATGCACCATACTTTAATGTCCCGCCCGCCCGACCCGCCCTCCCGTTAGGGTCCGCCCGCCCGACCCGACCCGACCCGACCGTTAGTGTCCGCCCGCCCAACCCGACCGGACCCGCCCGTTAGGGCTCTCGCGTGTGAACTCAATAATGTCTCACCCGCCCAACCCGACCTGCCCGCTAGGGTCCGCTTGGGTCCGCTTGCCCGACCCGAACCGGTCCGCCCGATAGGGCCCGTCCGCCCGACCCGACCCGACCCGACCCGCCTGTTCGGGTCCTCGCGCGTGAACTCGATTATGCACCACACTTCCCGCTCGCCCGACCCGACCCGCCCATTAGGGCTCGCCCGACCCGACCCCACCCGCCCGTCAGGGTCCGCCCGCACGACCCGACCCGACCCGCCCGTTAGGGTACTCGCGCGTGAGCTCGATCACGCACCATACTTTAATGTCCCGCCCGCCCGACCCGACCCGCCCGTTAGGGTCCGCCCGCCCGACCCGACCTGACGCGACCCGCCCGTTACGGTACTCGCGTGTCAATTCGATCACGCACCGCACTGTAATGTCCCGCCCGCCCGACCCGACCCGACTGCTAGGGCCCGCCCGCCCGACCCGACCCGAC